TTCATGTTTTGTGTGTTCTTCTTGTATATTTGGTGTGGAACTAAAAAGCAAAAATATAGCAAAAGCAACCGCGCAAAACAGACATCTTCTGACATCCCCAACAGTTCATGCAATTATGAACGCACTTTTCTGATTTCCAAAATCATAACATCATTTTGAATACATTAAATTATGAACGAATGCTCTCTTAAATAACGGGATATTACAAGCTAAAAGGCTCACATCTTTATATAAAATAGTGTTTCTTTATATGTACAGTAGAGAAATCCAATATGAAACCATAAATTGAGTATATAGTTCTATTGGAAAAAAGTTGATTGGTATTTTAAAAAAATATGGTATGTTTCTGAGTTTTTAAACCTGTATGCATTCATAAAAACTACTTCTATTTTTGGGTGTAATCAAATATCTTTTGTTTTGTTTATGAGTTCAGAGAACTTCAGAAAATTAATGAACTATACTCAAACACAGAAGACTACCCAGAGCAACTCATGGAAGACAAGTGAAAGATTTCAGACAAATGCACTTTTTACTCCTTCAAAATGTTGTATGCAGTCAATAAGAGCAGCTCATGGAAGACAATTTAAATATTAAAACAGATGCATTTTTTGAAAGCATTAAGTTTCATCGGCAGTCATTACTATATCATATCTTAAAAGTAAAGCAAAGTTGAGCATGCATTCATTGAAGACTTACTGTAATAGAATAGACAGCAGCACTGTGAGCGTATGCATTTCATGTGGCAAAATTTCTCTACTGGACACCTAAAAATGGCTGGTTTTAAAAACTAGAAAATACACACGCTCACAGCGCTGGCCTCTCTAGGAGATTTTACAAACTGCCAGAACCTTTGCTTGCTGATGCTACTGATGCTTGCTGATTCAGGTTTTCTCACGTTCACGCCGATTGTGATGATGAAGACTGAGATCCCAGTCCTGGTTTTGAGCCTTCAGCATACAAGACCAAGTCGATCTTGTTCGCCCATGGGTTTGACAGGAACACCTACTGTCTTGCGCAAGTGTGTGTGCCTCAACCAGTTTTCAGAACCGGTTTTCCTTTCTGGTTCATGGCATGAAGTGGTG